GTAAAGCCTGTTTTCACTCGACATGTGTCTGACGCCCACCTATGTCAGAAACTGTGGAAGGCTTCATTTCTACCTGGAGGTGAAATTATGCTGGGGGGAAAAAAGCAAACTGAATTCTACAGGAGTAACATCTCAAATGTCACGAGGTTCTCTTGCACTGCTTTTACTGTGCCTTGCGAAGGTATTTATATCTCCTACATCTTTTCAGCTTGCCACTCTTAAGTTTAGTTGTATTTTTTTTATGTAAATAAAAAATGCAACTTTTTCTTTTACAAATTAAAGCATAAAAAGTGCGACATGCCTTCATATTCAGCCCTGTGTGACATGAGGTCCTTAGATAAAACCCAGCTTGCAATATTTGTTGTGCGCTGTGTAATTTAAAAAAAGACCTACTATGTGTCATTGAATAAGTCAGGATAGGTCTGTGGGATATACAAAACATAATCATTACAATTTTTGCAAAAAATATCAATCTCAGATCATGAGATTTCACCTGCTTATTCTGTCTATAATTAAGCTCCTTTGAGAATCAGCTATTTTAGAGCTGTGCAAGTGCTGGCCATGCCTCCAACTCCGTTTTTTGTTTAGACAATAACTCTTTAATTAAATAACTTACAACAATATTCAATGTTCCTTTGGGAACAATAAAGTATGTTTGAATTCAATTTACTCTTTGCACACATGAAAACGTCTGCAAGCAGACGCGCATTTGTACAACGGTACATCTTTGACCTTGAGTAAGGTCCAGAGGCAAAAGAAGTGGAGTCTGCTGCAACAACCATCAAAGATGCAGCAAGCGGTTTCTGCATAAGTGAAACTCTCGCAGTTTTTGGTAGGGTCAGTGGACCCGCTTGAGCTTTTTACGCTGCACGGGGATTGTTCACGAGTGAGGGGAGGCTAAAAAAAAATGGGAGATCAACAGATGAATTGTTGCGACTGCTGCACCGGTCAGATGTGGTGAAGAGAAAGCGGCGCCGGAAGGCACTGCAAGTTAAATGCAAGAGAAAGCTTTCAGGGAAGCGTAGCTCTTGACCTTCGTCTTCACAGAAAACAGAGAACAAAACGACAAACAGATTTTACACACAAAAGCCTTTATACAAGAACTACAGCAAGCTTAGCATATTGTCACACAGAAGTTTAAAGTTTATTCACACATAACATACTACAGAGGGTAATGTATTCAAGAAACATTGAATAGCGCTGTCATATATGTCACAGGAAAAAAAAGAAAAGAAAAAAAAAATCAAAACCAAAAGACAACCGTTTCTTTGCCGTTATATAAAAATATTGTTGCTACAAAAGTATAAATTAGGTTTACTAATAAGACAACTCAGATCTGAATCTACACAGAAGTCTGCTGCCAAAGTGCGATAAAAAGACTAGCTGAACAGAATCCAACATATTTTTTATTTTTTTTTTTGCATTTTAGCTGAGTATAAAAAGGAAGAAATGCCTGTAAAATAGGATGAAAGCAACACCGAGTTCTTAACCTGAATTAATTAACTAGTTGAACAGATCTCCATGTTAGCATTCATTTACCACAACTTCACAACTGAACTTTTTATTATCTGAATAAGTTAAACCCCTTAAACAAAAGAAAACTTACAGCTGAGTTCAGCGTTTCTAGTATAAGTATCTAAGCTGACTTTTCTATTATATCAAAACTTTCTGAAATGCTACTGTAGAAAAAAGAGGTATAATGTTATTGGTGCTCCCCACTTTTTCTCTTGAATGAAGGCGCCCCCTTGTGGCATAAAAACAGCAGTTCTCCTGTATTTACAGAGTCCGTTTCTGAAAAGGGATGATGTCAACCTCTAAACACCAACCAGAAAACAGAATAGCTACTTCCACCTGGAGAGGCAGAAATTCAGTCAGAGTACCTTAAAGTAACATCATGTCAGAGCCAGAAGGATTCATTTTTATCTGATGAGAAACACTGGTTAATAATATTATATATGATTACTCTTATCAAAAGCATGCATATCTTAGTTATATTTTTCATTTAATCAACAAAAAAAAAGGAATACTATTTCTAAGAAAATTTAATTTCTTGTCAACAATGGCATTTTGTCCCAGAGCATATCCTATTGGAAAACGGAAAAAAATAAAACAGTGAGAAAAATCCCTTCATCAGTGAGCCCAGGAAAACTGTTGAAACCAGCAACCATGTACAGTATTTTGACCGTTTCTTAGATCTAACCCACATTTCAATGAACTGGTTTCTGAAAATCTCAATACTGCCTTCTGAGTGCTGAGGTAAAACATTGGATTGGTACTTGAAAAGTGTATTTCAAACAGATTTTACAGTCACTTTTTTTTTCTTTTTAGCTTTTTTTTTTATTAAAATATAATAAACAAAATCAAAATATTCTAAGAAATCATAAAGTGGGGATAGGGAGGTAGGGGTGGCAAGGCCTTTAGGAACTTGGGAGAAAGAAAATCTACAGTCTACTTAAAAAAAATGTAGCTAAACAAAAAGTTTGCAAAGCAAATCCTCAGATCTTTGTCTCTTTTTTTAAATGTTTCATAAAATTAAAATCAGTCAAAAATGGGGGAAAAAAAGAGTTTGAATCAAAACTGGTACTGATCTGAAATTCTTATAAAAGATTAATCAGTTTTCTTTTTTTTCTTTTGGCTTTACAAACGTGTTACTATTCCCACAGATGTATTTTCATTTGCTGCACACTTACATTCACTTTAAACAAAACAGCCCTGCCTTTAGCCTTCCAATGTTCACTGCGAACTGCATTAGTGTGATGCTGTCTGTGCAAAAGTGAGTGCTAACAGTGTTAAAAGAACTATGTTTCTGTGTACAGTCCATCAGTGTTTTCTGAGAAGGCTGCTGTTTGCACTGAAACTGCCATCATACAGGCTTCAACAGAAAAGGAATCACCTGAAAGCTGCAAAACATCTCCTATAGTACAGTGTATAATATGCTAAGGGGATTTTGAGGTGTGGAGAAATATAAGTGTTTTTTTTTTTATTATTTTTATTTTACAAAGTGAAGGGTTACTTGGTGGGGTGGGAGATGAGAAAATAAATAACTGCACTGCAGCATTTAGGAGTATTAAGCTAAATTCAAGCTGTGTGAAAATACAATCTCAAATCACAGTATCAGTTTTGAAACGTCCTTCGGTGTGACACCAACAAAAATAATCTAAATACTCAAATTCGATTCTCATGTAGAGTCATTTTAAGTCTATTTATACAGTGGATACCTGTTTTAATGCTTAAGTTATTACTGACCTGTTTTATGAGCATACGTGCTCAGTTGATTTCACCTAATAAACATATAAATAAAGCACTTAAGTCACACAGTTGTACATGATTAAAAAAAAAAAGTCACCATGTGGACACTAGAGGACGCTGTTTCCAGCTATAAATTCCTGATACATCTACACGAGTGGCCAAAAGAAAAGAAGCAAATGCTTAAAACACAAAAGAAGGCAATTAATGTACAAAACAAAGGCAAGACAACTGAAGGGTTACAGGTCGAGTCAAGGAAGAGACTTAAGGCCCAAAAAACAGAGAGAACAAACCAGAGATTGAATAGTAATTACCAAAGGCAACAAACAGCAGTTTCCATTCTTCCAAGCCATTTAAGGAGGTATTAGCGCAATTTAATGTACACTCACTTCATGAACACACTTACGTTAAGTTTAGAGGATACACTGGTAGACCAAAACAACAAAACAAAATAAAATAAAGTAAAATTCCTCAGTGTTTCTTTTCGATGGCACCAGGTGTATTTTGGGTGGAATGGTTGAAAAACAAAGTCGTGGTTCGGTATCCACCTCAGCACTGAGGTCACAGTTTGGTTTCTTTTTAGGTACAGTGAGGAAAAAGTGGCGGTGCCTGCTCGGATGTGCTCATTCCTGAGAAAATCCTATTGATTTTACAAACGTTAAAACGATTTGATGCGGATTGATGACTTGCGTTGTGAGAACAGTCAGATAACGGGACCTGTGTGCTGTATTAAAGCTTATTGCCTTAAAAATGGAAATCTATAGCTCAAAATAGGAAGACGATGTTTATAGTAGGATGATAAAACTGGGAAGCAACAATAAATAAACCAGCACACTTCCAATGGACTGTATTTTTCTTCTAAACGAGCTTCAAAAAAATAAAAATAAATACATATACATGCTGAAAAATGCCATTATGGAATAAACTCGTGCAAGCAAAGCTCACCAAGTGAATGATAAGCTGTTCTTTTGAGAGTCCAGGTACAATGTCTGAATCTAAAACAAAAGCATTGACGCTACTCGTCGATAGCGGGTGCAAAGTGATGTGGCATTCCTGAATTACCAGCATTTGTAACCATTAAGCTAGTGAAATCAACTGTAGGAGGTTTTTAAGCTATATGCTACCTGGGTTGTGCTGTTTTTAAAAACAATAAAACATTTTAAAAGTTATTATTTCATAATGTTATGGAATACATTTCAGGAGTAATCCAGCTCTAACAAGTACGACTGAACAATTTCATTAAAAGACGCAAAATGAAAAATATTCAATTGGATGCTTTCCTCTTTTAATCCTTCAACTTCTATTAATTTCAGATCTGTGCAAGTCCAACGGTTTGACTTGCATGTCAAGAAGCAACGAAAAAAACAATTTCAGCAATTTTCTTCACAGTTTGTAATTAAAAAGGAAAGCATCACATAAAATTAGTTACCTTCTCAGTTGAGAAAAAAATGCATGCAGTGCATGCAAATCCTCCAGCGCTACATTTTCTGGCCGTCAAAGCATCTGCAACGCTTAAGCTCCGTTTTCTGCCCATTGTCCGACGTCGACTAAGCTGAAGTTTTTTTTTCCATTTTAGGTGTGTTGTGTAAGAAAATCCTAAACCTAGTGCACCTAATTTTCAGAGGTGCAGTGGCAGTGAAGACTAACTACGTAATTCTTTCGTTGTACGCCCTAAATATACTGCTACAGTAGTTTGCCGTTATCTCCCTCCTGAACGGTTTTGAGAAGTAGGTTGTTTTGTTTTTTTGTTTTTTTCCAGAGGTGTGTAACAGTAGGCCGAAGCAGTGAGAGCTCTAATTACCTGAAAATGTTGTCAACCAGTGAGAGTAACAGCATCGTAGCCTTGTAGAGGTTTAATCATTAGGCTGGAGTAATTTAAATCACTGACTGTGACAGATGAAATTCTTCCTGCTCACACGTGCGTCTTAAACCAAGGGCAGCGCACCAAACAGGACTGTCTCGTCTTGTCAGAGATACCGTTCCACCCCTGCTCTTTGCTCTGTACTTTACATCAGCCCAGTCCTCACAAAATATATAAAAAGCCATTTAATTTTATATGTGTGTACAGTCTTTGCAGTGTGTGTGTGTATGCTTTTTTTTCTGTATTATTCTGCCTTGAGGAGTCTTTAGTTTTCTTACACACTGATGTTTACAGTTCATCTAAACCTACAGTACATAAATATTCAGTCATTGGTTGGATGATCGTTTGGTTGATTACGGACTGATGGGTTGCTTTTCTAACCCATATTGGAGCGAAGGAAAATGAGTTTGTTCATCTCCTCAGCAGTGACCTGCTGCCTCCTCTTCATTGCCAGACTTTGTTCACACACAGTCACACACTCACTGCGTATGCCCACCGCAGGCACGGCGAGAAGCCACAGCGCCAAGCGAGCGAGCTTGGGGAACTTCTCACTCACTGTCGAGCTCCAGTACTGAAAGAGGTCAGGTGTGCCTTGGACAAGTGGTTCGGCCAGGTACTGAAATATCTCTTGCCTAACTTGTCCCGGACCTTCGTCGTTCCCCGAAACCAGAGAGGAGCCTCTCGAGGGTCCGCCGTTGTTTCCAGCGCCATCTATACGGCTTATTTTCGGGGTGGGAGGGCCGTCTCCATCCCTCTCTTCTCCGCTAGAACCACCTCCACCGCTCAGACTTCCATCCCTGGTTTCAGCAGCCATTTCGCAGGCACGGGAAATGATGTCCTCGTGCTGGTAGGCTGGAACTGAACGCAGCTTGAGCTGTGGGTCCAGGACCATGGCTACCTGGTGGGCTCTTTCAACCTGCAGAGAGAGAAATATCACCGATTATTTGAATGAACACCAAACAGAATCATTCATAACCAATTATACAGCGTTCTGTACAGATATTCAGTGTTTTATTGGGGTGTTTTACAGACTAATACAAAGTTGACACGGTACATATTCATTTAAAATGTTTCCGAAAATGAAAAAAAAATTGAAATGCATTTATTTTCACACCCTCTGAGCCTCTTTTATGCAATACAGTTATTTAAGGTACGCCTCTACCGGCTTGTTTCAATCTTAAATAGATTTTTTTTTTGTTGTTGTTGTTTTTTGCAATTGTGCTTGTTCTTATTTGAAAAATAGCTCAAGTTCGGTGAGTTTTAACGGAGAGCAACTGTGAAAAGCAATTCTTAAGACATGCACGTGAATCCCAGATGCATGTAGACCTGGACTTTGATAGGATCATTTTAACATGTGAACATGCATTGATCTAAACTGTTCCATTGCAGCTCTGCTTGTACGTTTCGGGTAGCTTTACTGACCATGGTCTCTGTTTGGATTGAACAATTTATTATCTTTAAGGTTTTTCCTAAGAAGAGCATCCCCACAACATGATCCTATCACCACCAGTATAAATAATTTTGCAAGGTTCTGTATATCAGAGACACTAGTTCAATGAGATGAATCATTTTTTTTTCCTTTTTATCAATCTTAGAGTCTGACAGCTGTAATCTTTTATTAAATTTATTTATATTTTTTTCAGAAGAAAATACAGTTCAGGAAACAAGAAGGAAATATTATCAATTTTGTACCTTAAAGTTTTCCTTGAGGGCTTCAAGGAAATAGTGGCAGAGTTTGCTAGCGGTGCCAGTCCCAGCCTCCCCAGCTTTAGATGTGAAGAACTTCTCCAAGCGCAGATAGACAGGCAGTACTTGCTGTAGGGTTGGTCTCCTCTGGCTGCTCAGCTCCAGAGCTGCCAGGCGAAGAGGTGCCAGGAGACAAGCCAGGGTGCTTAGCAGATGTTTGTTAAGTCCTTGAAGAAGTGGCGCGGTGGACTTACTGCGGCCATAAGCCTCACAGATGTGTTCGAAGTGTGCGTGGACCTGCAGGAGGGCCTCTGCCATGCGGTCCCAGCATGGAGGTGTGGGGCATTGTGCAGGGGAGCCTTGTGTACTTTCCTCAGTTGTGCTTGTGGATGTGTTGAAGCACTGTTCCTCACGAAGGGCCAGCGTGGAAGAGGAGGCGATGTCTCTGCAGGTTGAGAGAAGCTCGGCTAACTCGTGAAGCCCTCGAGCCTGGAGGCTGCGTTTCCCGAGAACCGCCTGAACGACGGCGCCGAGCGAACACCCCGCACACCGCAAGCATATTCTCCCCCGCCCGCCGCTCCCCAGCGGCGACCCTGCGAATCCGGCTGCCCACAGTCGAGGCTCGGAGACGTACACGGTTCGAATGTCCGACATGACAAACTCAGACAGCACGTTCTGCACCCAGTGGTGAATCTGCTCGGGCCCCTCCCTCAGCTCCGCCTCCCTCACGCCGAGCACGTAACGTTTGAGGCGGGACCCCTCCACCTGGTAGGCTGTGAGCACGTAGCAGGCGTCTGGGCCAGAGGTCTGGGAGTGGCAGGTCACTGCGATGCCCAGCGAAGCATTGGAGCCCAGGGCACACGTGACTTTGACTTTCACTTGGTTGTACATGCGGGGGAGCTGGCGCAGTGCCAAGGCACTCATGTTGCCAAGAGCGTCGCGGGTGGAGTAGGCACCGTGACGAGCCCCTGTGTCCACAAGGGTCTGTGCCAGCTTCAGGAAGTCTTTGCTGTTTAGCACATTGAGCATGTTCAGATCAGAGCACATTACCCGTAATAGGCGCTCAGCCACCTGCTGTCTCTCCTTCTCAGGTAGCCCATTGTTCTCTGCCAGTTGAGTCAGATGGATTACCAGGGAAGAAGAAGAAAAAAAACAACAAAAAAAAACAGAAAAACAGAGATAATCAGTATTATTATTTGAAGTATTTGATGGCTTGATTCCAATATTTAACATGCTGGAAAAAAAAAAAACAAATGTGGCTGAAAATTTCCTGAAAATAATATGAAAAACATATAACATTACCAATATACTATACAAATATTAATGTCCCAATCCAACTTTGAATGCTGGATCTGAGTTCCTTACTAAAGTGCTCTCTCAAAAACACATGTTAACATATTTCCTGTGATTTGATGCCAGTTGCACCCATAGTGTTACAGGGTGAGCTGTGTTTTCCACGGCTAGTTTAAAAAAAAACAAACAAACAAAAAAAAACACGAACTTCTTTGGTGGTGCAAAAACTGCATTATAGGCGATAGTCAATGCATTGTTTATTTAGCTATTTAGTCTGGGTTAACAATCTAAGTGAAACTATAAAAGAGCTACTGTTACCATCAACTCTGTCTACGTTTCTTTAACATAGAAATAAACCCGGACCAGTGCATCTGCTTTGGATGATATTACATCAGAACATTAAAGACGCTTTTGTAACCTAGATAACCTCATGTTGGAACAGCACTTTAACTCTGTGCTGCAGAAACCTGTTGGCACTTAATTTAAAATTACTAGGGTTGGCACTGATAAAAATCTTAATCAGGATATCCCTAATACCAATACACTAGTATAGCTGTAGATATCAAAAGAAAGATGAAAGAGGGAGGGTTCATTTACATGTTATGTGCCTACACCCTTAGACTTAATGAGCTAGCAGTACTTACGGCTGAGTGTATGGTTCCTCTGAGAGATACTTTGAGGCTGGATTTGTATTTTCACTGAGGGATGGGCCTGAGCCTGGGACCCTCTCCACAGCTGCTCTTGAGGACCCGAAGCTGAAGAGGTTTTGGGAGAGTCCCCTTTGGTGTGGTTCTCATTATCAGCTGAAAATAGACAGATGGCAGAAAAAGCGTCTATCAATAGAGTACCTCTTGGGAAACCAGTAGCGAAACTGTAAAACAAAGGTACGAAAATTTAGGGATTAAAAAAAAAAACAGGAAAAGAAACATTAAAATTATGCGCTCCACAACCCTGACTCTTTAATAGATGAATCATCTTTCCAATCAGTGGTGTACATTTTTAAACTTCTGAGTGAGTGCTAAGCGTCTGCTCCTCTACAAGATCAAACTCAACTGTTTATGCCAGTCTCTAAAATTCATTAAAACCACTTAACTACAAACATAAATATTTAAGTGCATGGGTGCGAAATGGTTTGTTTACTGGCACAAAGCGGAAATACGCTGGAACGGAATGGACTGTTTGGGTGTAAACAAGGGTAAAAACCGGAAAACGTCCCACAGCCAAACAAAAGACACGCAGCTGATTAAGTGTGTGATTCTCAAAGTATTTTTCAACAAGACAAAGACCACAGCAGCTTCAGGTCCAGATCTGCAACAACCCTTATTACAATCTCTTTCTTAAAACTCAGCATTAATATTGAGCACAACTTTAAAAAAAAAAAAAAAAAAGACTAAACCTCAAACCTCGTTGCCAATGAGGACTTGTGCACATTATTCATTTGTCTCGGTGCTAAGCTCAAGGCTTAATCTGTATTCGTAAACTCACCAGCGTGCGACTGCATGTGCTCCAGGAGGTTGTTGTAGAACTGGAACTGGATGCCACAGGCACCACAAGTGTAGGGCTCTAAAAAGATCACAACGCCCAAAAGACTGTTGACTCTTTGTCATCAGAATAATAAAAAATACTGTGCATTTGTCAACCTGGCTAATATTTCCTGTTTTATGAAATTTATTTCCCTTGATCTGTCATGGATTGATCAAATTCAGTTCAACTGTCATATGATGATGTTTAGGGTGTTTGCAGGTTACTGTGATTCAAGACAAAATCTCATCCAACATAGAAGCCCCTCCTTATTCTGTTAGTACTTTGGGCTATTTTAGTCTTTAGTAATTGACTCTATGAAAGCAAAAAAAAAAAATAAATAAATAAATAAATAAATAAATAAATAACAAAAAAAACAGCATTTACATCTTAACTTAAACAAAAAAAAAAAAAAAAAAAAATTGGAAAGTTGGAGTCCAGAAGAATAGCACAATGTTTTAATTTTTGGCACTATTACTTACTTTGTGATGTAGAGAAGGTGGTGGCCACCAGAGGGCTCGGAGTTCCTGCTGACAAGAGGAAAGGGAAGGATTTAAAGCTACAGACACTGTGGTGCAGGCCTTTCTGCATCACTCTTTCCCTTTCTTCATTAAATCTGTCCAACTCCAGATTCTCTGCTTCTATTTTTGCAACAATAATCCAGGGTGGACTTATTCAAAAACAGGAGTATCAAATAACAAAAGGGTGTAAATGCTTTTTTTTTTTTTTTTTAAGCAAAAACCAAAGGCCTTTTCATAAAACATGAAAAGGCCTTCATCTTTAGAGCTATAAAGGCTAGTCGCAGCATCATCAGGGATGCTTTGATATAGTGTAGCTAAAGCCTGTACGGTCAGCTTTAATCTTAGACCCTATAACTGCAGTCGCAAATAGCCTATAATCATGCTACCAAATTTAAACTTCCAAGTCCACACAAGCAATAATAATGCTAAGCTAATAATCTTCATCACTGTGTGTTTTGGTCTGGTTGCTTTTACATGATTATATGGCAACTAATATTTTAATTAGCGATCACTACACAAACAAAAACAAAACCTTCTTTTAAATATCCAAAATTTGGCAACACTTTCCCTCAAAATGAACTTCGCCGAGCTTTTACCTGCAAGCGTCTTTGCAAAAAGATGAGAGGTTATTATACGACGCTGCTTTGTAAATAGGAATTTATTGCAGTGAAACGATGGACTAGCTCAGGCAGCTGTGGAAATCCTTGAGCTGCTGGGATGATTTGCTAATCCCTGGACTTCTATTCTATTTTGGTTACAGATCCCAAAACAGTCATTTTCTGTCATAATTGTTATGATCCAAGCTCCCAGGATTATTTATTGTTTGGCAATAGAAACTGCCTTATTTTCTACATTTAAAAATAAGTAAATGCAATGGTTAAGACAGCCTCTTATTAGCCAATCCCTGCTCAATTAAATGGGAGTATAGAAAACCTAACAATCCCTTGGGATGTTTTTTTTTTTCCCCCCTCTCTTTTTTCCTCCCATGAACTCACAAAAATAAAGATTAATGCTTTCTGAGTTCTTCATGTACATCTAGTTTTGGTTTGACAATTTATTTTGGTTTTCACTTTTACTTTCTAAATTATGCCTTGGGATGTCTGCTGGAACTCCAGGGGGCTTCTGTTGATGAGCTTTGTGCAGCCAGGCAATTTTATGTTATTAGGATGCTGTTTTTTTTTAGTTTAATACGTTCTAGATTAAGATCGTATATACAAAATTTACTTTATAGCATATGTAGTCTTCTGGTTTGATCATAATATACTCACACAGTAACACTTTGAATGGTTGGCTTGTATTAGGTTTTGTGTCAAATTAAAAAGCACCATATTAAAATAAGCAGGTAATGAACATACTTTTTAAAAATAAAATTATACATTTTTGTATTAAAATGTTTTTTTTAATTGACCTGATGCAACATTCTAAATCCTAAATTTCATGTCTGCATCAGCTGCAAGTTAAAAATCAACAAAATTAACAAAAATAAATCTTCCGTCTGCATGTAATTAATCTTCGTGTGTTATTATGTGTAAATTGAGTTACTGAAATAAAATAATGTTTTAATAATTTTTTTTTTCAAATGCATCTGAAAGTATTTTTAGATGCTTATTATTAGTTATATGCAAATTCTATCCAATTTTATGCTTTCTGAAAATTTATGACCAATTTTAAGTCTTTCTAATGTGTTATAGTTCATAATTTTTTTATTTATTTTTTTCATGGTTAGGGTTTGGAAGTCAAGCTTTAATTCAAACAACAGTTTTCAGTCTTTGTCTCGTATGAAAACTTTCTCATTAGGGTATTTGGCATGTCCGTATGTGACAGTTTAGGTCAAGTCATTGAAAATTATTTCAACAGAAAAATCTTCCCAAATAGATAAAGTTGACAAACGCTGAGCTTCTGCAAAGACATTCTTAAAGCTCTGACCTCAAACCTCAGGAAAATATGTGGTTCATGCTTCGGTGCCAGGACACAAACCGATTTAAATGAACTGCATCAACTCTGCCAAAAAAAGAGTAATCAAAGACTCAAACAGGGTTACGCTAAAATCTGGTTAATCGCTACAAGAAGCATGTAGTCAAATGGCAGAAAGACATTTAGCCAAATATTAGAGGCGGTGTAAATATATTTTTGGAGTCTGCGATTTTTGTCCTGCGTGCATAAGAAGAAAGTCCAATATAAATTCAAACTTGTGCATCAACATTTTACTTTTTGTGCAGTGGAAACTAAACACTAAAAACTACAAGTATAAAAATACTGGTCTAACTCCAGTCCAGACTTGTTCCCCAATGAGTAAAATATAAATGATTCAGTGCAAACTATTTTAGAGATAAATTGCAAAAATTAAGGAATGTTACTTTTAATAATAATATTAAGATTAAAATGCAACAGTTTTCCTTAGCTGTTCACTTCTGAACCGAGACTGTTGTTAAAATCAGTAGTGATGCAATAAGAGTGGTAAAACACACCCTGGTGCAAGCTATTTTTAAACATGTGGTTAGCATCTATTTTAAAAAGAGTAAACATTTAAAAATAACATTTCTCAAATTCAAAACTGGATGTTGTCTTGCTGCTTGTACTACTCTGAAACGAATGCCGACTTTAAATGTTTTGCACATCATTGCACTCTAATTTATGATGCATTGTTTTTCACCAACCATTTTCTACTAGAAGAGAGTTACGCAGTTCTGTTTGAAAATCTGGGGTAATATAAAGTAGCTGTTTATAAAAGCATGATTTTCAAAAGCATCTCTAGTTTCATGATCAGAGTGGGGAGATGAAAAATATTATTTTCAGCTCTCAGAATTGAGTTTTATATAGTAACAATTGATGCGAGGTAGGTCACTCAAACCTCTATACACAGACTCCATTTCAATTTTCAGCCCAGCAAAGAGTAGCAAAACAATATCTGCTGAGAGCGTCTGAAGCCGACAGAAACAAATATCTGCTTAGTAAAACATAAAAACACATCTCCCACTTTGAGCAGAAATAATACATTTCCATGCACAGTTAGAAATGCACTAAACAAGACACTAAGTGCTTACCACTTGAGTTCTGCGAACTGTTTGTATCAACCAAACTGGTCTGAATCGCGCTCTCTAATTTCCGTCTAAATGGGCTGTCTACAAGGGAAAAACAGGAGAAACAATAAGTGGCATACTCATAAAAAAAAACAAGTGACCTGCGCATAAAAAAACACAAAAAGGGCAAAAATATTTTAAATTCAAGCTACGAACACCCACAACTATTAGGTTGAAGCAAAATTAATGGCATGCAGTGTACATTTAATTTTAATCTGCAGCATTGAAATCAATCATACTGACAGGTTTGAATAAGGATCCAAATGGTCATATTACATTTAAATATGGGTTTAATTCTGCCTATTCGTTTCATCTTTTTGACCCACTTCTACGAAGCGAGTGTGTGCCGTGCTTTAAATAGGCTGAGTGCTTCTTAGCAGAAAGATAGGTTGGGGAGGTGGGGGATGGTGTGGCAAGGCGAAATGAGACTCAAAAATTGCACTACCATTTGAGAATTTGTCAATTTTTGCTAACCTAAAAACGATGATTGTTGACTTTTTATTTTGCATCTTTTTTTTTATCTTTTGTGTTAAAATTCCTTTGCTTATTTTAGTTACACGAATGGCCAAGAGCATTTGCTGTCTATTTTTTACAAGATCATTTCACAAGAGCAAAGCAACTTTGCTTTTTCTGCATATATTTAAAGTGAAATCCAGCAAAAGGGGTTTAAACCCCCAGGATGATATGATACAAATAAGGACGCCCCGATACCAGGTATTATACCAGGGCTCTAGTATATTTAATGAGAGGTATCAAAGTCCACAACTAACTTAATCCTCTGTACTTGTTATTGGTGTAACATGTATAATTTTGTTACACATAAATCAAATCTAAAATACCGGTAAATAAAAATCATAGCCAAATCTGTATTACAGTCCCTCCACACGTCTTCCTGATATTGTGGGAGGAGTCTTTGTCTTGCAATTCCAAAGTTGTTGGTTCAATTCAAGCTTTATCCCCAAATTGCCAAGTCCGTATATGAATGTGTGCGTGTTTTCACTGTTAAGCGCTTTCATTGTGACTAGAAAAGTGAAGCATAAATTCTAACAAATCTATGCATTATAACAAATCTTTACACTGATAATGATTATGAAAAGAGAATGGAGGCTAAAATGTTTGATGAAATAATGAAAAAAATCACAACCCCCACCGGACAACTCAATATTAGCGACAGTTTGTATTGTTTTTTTTTTTTTTTTTATTTTTGCAAAAACATTTTCCTGGTATGGTAAGGATGAATGTTTTTGTCATTAGGCTCAAAATGAAATTAAATAAATCTTTGTTAATATACTGTTAGCTTTATACAAATCTGAATGCTCTCTCTTATGTGTAGCATCAAAATAAAATAAAACTTACTGCTCAGCGCTTTGCTCAGACCTGTAATTCGGAAGGAAACAGACAAAAATCATTCTGAGTTTGAAGCTTTGTTCAGAAGGGTATTATTCGTCCAACTTCACATAGCAATAAACAAAAACGTCACAAAATAAGCCCCATACTTACTTTTTATCTTATTAGCTTGGCTGTGGCTAAATTTGCTCATGTCCAGGGTACCACATTCTTGTACACGTGAAGTCTTCAAATCAAATGACCCTATAACAAAAGTATCTGGGAGTCATATACACACCAATGTAAGACTTAGATGCTCTATATGTTCATAGAGCATCTGATAGTAAAGCAGTATAACTGCAAACTCCTACAATATATTAGATAATAAAGCAATGTAACTGTTTAGTGAGAAGATTCCTTTTTACAAAGGTAGTTTGTGAATTTTTTTTCATCTGGAACTTAATTAATTAATGCTTTATGATTAAAGTCAAAACTTGGCAGACTTCAAGCCACCATTAAACCCGACGAGGCACAAATAAACTAATCAAACTGTTCTTATTTGGTTTAATTTCCTCATTTTTTCTTAGTAATTGAACATGTCAACATCATCTTACTTGTATTGAAGTAAAAAAAAAAAAAAAAAAAAAAATTACGGTACATTTATAGGGATATTCCACAAAGCTGCAATGTAAAAACAATATTTTTCCACCATTCCTCTAATTTGCTCTAAATGAAATTTTAGTTGCATGAAGTTTTTTGGCTTGGTGCTGCAATCAGACTCACCCAATGGTGTATGAAGAGCAACATGCTCCTGGTATGGGTTGAAGTATTTGTACTGCTTCCCACAGAACTCACAAACATAGCTCCCAGTTTCTGGAGATGAAAATAAACACAATTAACTTGTTAATTACTCCAATAAATACAGAAACAATCACATTTGCCATCAGGAGAAAGAGGAAATAAGAGACTAAAATAACACTGGTGATTATGTTTGAAGAGCAGACTTTGTGTTAAGCAGTGACTGTCCCCTCATACAGGTGCATTTAATTTAACAAAAATATCACTGAAAATTATCATTTCAATATGTATTTTTATTTATTTCAATAATTCAATTCAAAAAGTGAAACTCATTTTAAATAGATGTATTACACACAGGGATATAATATGGGAAATGATTTGTTTAAAGTTGATGTTTAAGGCTTAAACCTAATGAAAACAACAAATTCAATTTCTCACAAAAAAGTTATATTATATAAAACTAATAAAAATGATTTAAACCTTGTCACTGCCAAACGCTTACATGTCAGACACTGACATGTCTGTAAGGACACCGGTGTCAGTCAAGAAGCTGATACAGAATCTCCGTCTGATGGCTTTTATCAGAGAAAAGTTATTTTTTTCAATTCAGTTGGAAATCAAGGTCCTAGGAGTCTAGACTAAATATGGAGATGTACAGAATTTAAATTGTCTGAGGTCCACTTTGAAATTTCCTCAATCAGTGATTGGTTTGGGGAGCAAACTTGTGTTGGTCCACAGTATTTTATCAAATCACCAGCCACCAAACTGGAAAAGTGGGCTGGCACTTTCCACCAGCCCACTTTACAAAACTATTAATACCTTTTTTAGGGAAGAATCTCTTGTGTACTGTCAGGAGGAAGATGAGAGACATCAGAGTCAGCAATGTAGAGCAAACGAAGGCCGCTACAACTCAATCTGGGCTTCCTTAACTCCGCAGCGGAGCTACAGGATGATCACATCCAAGCCATGCCACACTAATGCAGTAAATCATGCAAAAGAGGGTTGGAACAAGACCAACAACAGGGCCTGTACTGTATTATGCAGTGCATGGACATGCTTTTCTTAATGCTAAAATTTTGCTTCATCAAACAGAATCTTTTTGTCAATCTTCTGTAACATTTCACTTTTCTCAGAATTTTTTTTTTTTTAGGACCCCTAACATAATTCACCAAAATTAACAAACACTTGAAATACATCATGATATGTATAAAGAATTGATAAAAAATTAGCTTCACTTTTTGAATTAATACGGTTAAAGTCATGCGTACAGGATCAAATTTATACATACATCCCTAATAATGCTGGAATAAATGTAACAATGCTGAGGATCAACTGTGTACAAGATCCAGGTATGGGTTTGGTTGGATATTTGAACAATCATTTTGTTCTCTGATTAAAGCCTATTTTACACATTTGGGAATAACCTGCTAAAGAGAATGGCAAGCTACATTTAACATAAAATGAGAATTTGTTGTTTCATCATGCTTCAGTAAATCCATGTTCTAAAAGTCTTCTGTGGAAACACTCATCCTCAGCTGGTATGTAGGTGTTTAACAGGGCACCAGTGGTTGATTAGCTAGGACATGCTAGCAGGGTAAACCTGCTAAGCACTACAAATAAAATTCTTATTGCTGATTCTATGTTAAACTCTCTATGCACATTTTACTTGTCCAGTCAACAAGACAAGATTCTACAACATCTCTGCACAATAAATGAGTCAATCATCCAATTTAACTTGGGAGCATGTTGGCTAAAACCGACTGCCGACATGTAGCACCTGGCAATTCAAATTAAATCAACTAAAAAGAACATTGGAAACAGAAAATGATCTAAAATGTACTTAAAAAGTTAGAAACTATAGATAATAGTAACCGAAAAACTTGGGTAGGACCTTTTCTGATGGTTTACACTGACTGGAAAATAGGTTTGGGTTTGTAGTGTGCGATTTGTTATGTGACTTTTTAAAACGTAACAAAAAGAAAAGCAATTTTGAGAACCATAGTAGCCTATGTTTAAACAAACTACGAGTACTTCAGTCTTACTTGGTCCAATTTTCTGATAGGGTTCAATAGGCTCCTCCTCTTTAAGGCCATCAACAGGTAGAACCACCTGCTCATACGGATCTGAGAGAGACGGAAACATAAGCACTGACATGCTGGTGGTATTCTTAAGTAATACAAAAAACAGTAGATTATGTTTTAATCTGCTCTTCACTAATGCTTCATGACATTAGCTAAGAGGCATTATTTACTTAGTAGCATAATAATAAAAATGTCATCAATGCTAATAACTGAATTACAGAATGCAGCTATTAGGGGTCTTTTTTTATTTTTTTACCAATGCAACAATATACCATTTGTCTATAATTTTTTAAACTCCACACTGCACTCTGAAAACAGATATCCAGGCATTGTGACTAAACAATAACATTCTTGATAAAAGTTTGCAAGAGATATAAAAACTAACATTTGAGGGAAAATATAAACTAAGGCATATAGCACAATACACAATGAGAGAGTTGCAAACATAACTGAATCAAGAGGTCCAAATGAGGAGCTTAACTCTACTGGTTTCATTATCAGACCTCAGGTTTCAAAGACAATCATATTTTTGATGTAACTTCTAAAACTTGAGGTTACCATCCACTGCGTGCAGGTCACGGTGCTCCTGGAAACAGCTGTAGTATTTGTACTTCTTGCCACAGATGTCACAAGAGTAACGGAAGCTACCTGCAAATGAACAGAAGAGAAGCAAAGTTTATATTTTCCAACGTAAGTTCAGCTAGACAGACGATTTCAATTGCTGTAATGTTTACATTTAAGAGACAAAAAACAATGAAGAATGAATTATGGGTCAATAATCACCAGCCGGCAGCAACAGATATGTTTCTGCATTTTAAATATAAGAAAACAGGAATGTTACATGCAAAGAAGGTGCAATACATACACAGGAGTTTCTACATAAAAACCCCAGCGTACTATAAGCCTGGCGGGCTACCAGGCTTTACTTGGCCCCCCACCAGGTTAAGCTCTGTCTTAAGTAGTTGTTTTTTTTATACACCAGTAACAGAGAGAGTAAAGATGGATTAAGCGAGGGTTATAGTTGACACGTTGGTCTCTCTTCACCAGTGATTCACAAATCAGTCTTAGACAGAACCATAAAAAATGATTTATGTTCTGCTTTCAGTCTTTCTTCAGTGGAGAAAGATGCATGCATCACAGAGATTAAATTAAATCACACAGAAAGAGGAATCTGATGATAAAATGAAAACTCAATGACATGGCTGGCAAATTTTTGTAAAAAAAAACATTGAAGAAGAAAAAAAAAACATGACGTGCCTTTATCCTACAAGAGTGATCTGTAAACTGCTTTATATGAAAGGCAGAACCTGACTGATGTAGAATATTGTTTGTTAAAGTTAAAATCAATAAGCTTCAAAGACTTTACGATGTCATAAAAGTCAGCTTAAAATAGATATACGTAGATGCAAGCAAACCCATATGCCAATAACAGCAACATTTTAATATATAAATGCTGTATTAAGTGCAAACAAAACATGAAAAAGGTTCAAATATTTGCAATGTGTTTCCAAGAGAAACCGATGCAAACAGAAAAGCATAACGCAGCAAGATAAAATCTAATTCTAACTATATCTCTTCAACAGAGGAAGGTTTATTCTTCTCTCGATAATTAAATATCAGACTTATTTTTCCCGTGATGTTGCTTTTCCCCTGGAAAGCAACATTCATGTGGCTTATATCATTTGACAATTAGGCAACAAATTACATTTTTTTCCATAATTTCTATACTGGGAGTGTTAATGACAATTTTTGGATTTTATTTGAGTTTGACTATTTCCGATTTTAACCGATTCAATTTTTTAAACAAGAACTATTAAATATAAGAAAAGAAAAAGTGCTACAGATTCTTTGATACAGGCATTAGCTTTAAATCGGACGAAAGATGAAGGAATAATAGGATTATCTCCACTCATTATGTCCCTTACCTTTATCTGATCTTTAATAAACTCAAAACCAAGGGCTTTGAAGTATATTGAAGCCTTTTATGGACTAAAAAATAAGGGGTTCCATAGTTTAGATGCATTTAATAAAAAATAAAATAAAATAAATTAAATTTTCACCTTTTTAACTGCCAATAACTGATTATGGTTGCTTAAAGTAAAAAACATAAATAAATAAAAAATCTGATTTGAACTGTGAATTTGCCAGACTTTTTCAACTCTTCAACACTTTGAAAATTCAAACATGTTTTTCCAAAATATTACTTTAATATTTTGTTCCCAGAATAAATATGAAAACAAAAATATGAATGTCAACATAACTACACTTTTCTTCACAATACAAAAGTTAACACCTGAGCTATACAACAACTAAAATCCATAATAAAGCCCAGAACAAAAAATGTAAGGTTTTAATATTATTTCCCCCTCCAATTAACACAAGGTTATTTTACAAAAATTAGATGACTTCGTTGACTTGTCAGCCTAATAAAAGCTCAAATAAGATGGTTCTAGACACAGGCGAGGCCAAATTCATAGTAAATCAACAACGGGGTAAACAAGACAAATAATTGGTTATGGAAGCCTGAATCTCTGTAGATGGGGTTTCTCTTCATTGTCAGTCTTCTGTAAATCAAATGTCGCAAAACGGTTTTAAAGCAAAATCCAAACTAATCTAATCATACTATATTTTAGCAGTTTGGCAGCCTACTTCCCTTTTTAGACTTCAACCATCCAAAACGCAGAGATTTGTGCTTTCTTGTGATTCAGCAACCCCAACCACTCATGTACAAACATGATACATTGGCATCTCCCTTTGTTCTGCACCCACTCAAACACAGAATCAATACATCATCACGAGAAACGGCAGCTAATTTGATCAAGTGGAGTTTGTAGCTGATGATTTGTTTCAGTCCCCTCGGTAAATAGCAGAATAAACAATGAACACCACAGCTGACAAGAATGCTAATGTGAATGTAAGAACTGTTCTGCTATTTTGTAATTCAAATACCACAAATGTAAACTATTCGGTTTGTAAAATGTTCAGTTGGCTGGCAAAAAAGCCTCCATCCTCCTGTATAATTAATGCAAAAATATTTTCTATTGCATTTCACAAGACCCTAAAATATTATCCATCCTGAGTTGCAGCCAGCCCATAAAAGTCTTTATGAAGCACATACCCTAAAATAAAAGGCTGAGAATAAGCCCATTATTCAACTTGTCAGAAGGCTTTAAGTCAAGGTTATTGTATTCAACAGGTTATTTAAAAATGAGTAAGGGGGAATAATTTTAAAAAGACTTTTCATGCAGAGATAAATTACCCGAGATAAATGGATTAAGGTTGTGCTATGCTGTCTTCTGGCTGTCAAAACAATGGGGACATTATTTTATGTCTGGTTTTTTATTATTTAATTAGCTGATTGATTTATAATAACCTGACTTTTGAAATTTCTCCAAAGAAAATCATTCTGTGCCACCATAGCAACGCCAAACAGGCAGAGATCTATAATTTTAACAGCTAGCACCTGAAATTGGCTATTATTGACAAAAACGGTCAAGGTTTGCAATAATGATCGCATGTCTCAAAGGGATTATTAAAGAACTGATCATTAGAGAATTGTAGCCTGTGTCCAAAATGAAGTGCGGTCTGCCCACCTCTGTGTGAGTGCAAAGCAACAGAAGCTGAAAAAAGTCATTATGGTCAAACAATTCCAATTCACTGTCATTGTAAAACGCTTAAAAAAAAAAAAAAACATAACTTCGTTTTGATTAGTTAAAAACTGCTTTTAGACAGTATTTATACAGGTAAGCAGATAGACTGAACACGGCGGGCGGCTGAGTAGTTGATTCCTAGAGTGTAAGTGTAGCTTTATGGACGAACCGCACATTTCCCACATATTCTTTTGTATTTTTATGTATTCGAAGGTGAATACACAAACTAAAAGCTGGTGTATAGACATTTTTTTCTAAAGTTATTTGTGAGCTAGTCTCTTTATTATTAACTTGAATATAATTTCAGATTTGTGTATAAATTTTCTTCAGGTTAACGTAGAAAGTGAGCTATTATTGTTACAGGTTAATTTTCTAAACTACAAAAAAAAAAAA